ACAATGTTGTTTACGAAGTGTCGGTGCTCAGGTGAATAGTAGTATCATGTAGCCGGTGTTGCACACGGAGTAAAGGCAACATACCGCCAAGCTCCTTAACTCCAACATCGCGATAAGACATCTGGAAAAATATATTTTTTAAATTTTTGATCAAGTTATTTATAGAATTTGTGAAACATGAGGAAGCCCATGGTTGAAATTACTTCTGATTCACATGTATATTCGCTCATTCTTAATTTGTGCGCATTTTTGACTTGATACGCGATTTTGAAGGAGGGGAAGGTAAGTTTGACAATTCATGAACAAGGTCCGGTGGTCACAGAACGTATTGCATTGTATTGAAAGAAAGATGACTCCATAAACATATATTGCGAACTCACATCTGAAATGTTTCGTTTTGTTGTATAAATATATTAAAATGTAACAAAACACGCAGTAATATGTAATTATATAAGAATATGAAAAAAATACACAGGAAAATAAAAATGGTTCTAATTCACTCAAAACGTCTTGTCAACTCTAAAAAAATTGTTTTGGATGCAGGTATCTTGTTCTTGTAAAACTATGTATTCACGTGAAAATCTGTCCCCTATTGATCTCTGTGGTTTACCTATGCTTCAACTTCTACGACGAAGGATGCTACGACAATCGTGAGACGAAAATGGTTAGAGGTTAATGATTTTGAATGGGATGGCAATTTCAAGGCGAAGCGTGGTGGTATGAAAGGTCAACCAGCTCGATCACTTTTTCGTCCACTTTCCCTCATCTTTTGAGCGAATACTAAGATGGGTTCTTCTTTTGCTTCATAAATGTATCTTCACTGTGCGTACGTTTTGTTGTGGCCTCTTTGCTAGTTGCGGAAGAAGTGGGGCGAGGCAAGTAGTTATTTCGTCAGCAATACTATAAAACGCGCCCAGAGGAACAAAATTACCAATTAATCGATTTACTGGTTTTTATAAAAGATGCTATTTTAAAAAAAGGAGTGATCGGTGTGACACACCCTACATTTCCAGCTTTGAAAATACGTAACAAGGGGAGACATCGTGAGTCAAAGACTCTAGCTTAAAAAAAGTTCGAAGTCGCTAGGTGAATCAGTTCAGGGTGATTAAATTAATGACTGTGTCATGTATGATTTAATGAAACTATACTCTGACTGGGGTTCATTTTATTGTTTGCCTCTTAATTAATGTCGATGAATGTTTTGAGTAAATTACAATATACAGAAACGAATTTCCTATATCAATTTACCTCCATTAAAATAAAAATACTGATTTTTAGGGGGGGAAATACACATTTGTCGGGCCTCACGGATACGATCTCAACCTCGGATTTTCAACTCGAACTTTCTGCAAGTAACGCAGTCGTGCGCCAAAAGTTTAATTGTAGCATATTTATGAAAATTTAAAAAAAATCGCTTTTGATGCAAAGATAACACATTTTTATGCATATTTAAATATGTATAATACTGCATTATTTAAATATGTATAATATTTAAATATGTATGTTGTGGCCCAGAAATTTGTTCAACTTGACTTAAAAACTTAATGTACCACTTATAACCA